GTTCTAAAGAACCCCTTATTTTTGTGATGTAAAAAAATATACTTGTATAGTTACAGCACAGCTGCTTATGATATTTAACGTTTTCTACATAGGCTACATTCTTCTGATAATGCATCAGCATTTTTTGGCTTGAAATAGTTACATTCCTCCAGACCCCCATAGCATTCATTGGCAATGTAGCATGCTTCGCACAATATGTGTTGACTTTTGATCTCACAAGTTAGAACCCTCCTTTTCAAACATTTTGTGGACGAGCCTGGATATAGTGACAATTTATTCAATGGAGTATATAACTCATTTGTTTAATGCATAAATATTATATAACTAGTATAAAAGCCCGACAAAAATGACGAGAAATCAAAGACTACCAAATCTGAATCCTCCTGTATGCATTTGCAGCTTTTCCACTCGTAAAACAGACGTAAGAAAATAAAGGTCCTTCTGGGTTCGAGAAACAAAAGCCTATCATGAGCAATATTTTCTTTACCTAAAGAGTGTTTCTTCCCAGAATAGATCCTTGTCCCAGCATTCACTGATCACAGCTTATTTTCTAATCACATCAATTGCATTATTGCAACAATTCTCTCAAAACCACATTTCTTGTAAATACTTGATCATTGTTCAAAAACATCTCTTCATAACAAACAGCGAATAAATTTCACTCGGTGCTAAATAAATCCTTGGTATAAAAAACTCCCTCCTTGATAGGCTTTTATACAGCAGAAAAAGTGCCGAAATCTAAGAGTTATTTACGCCTATGTTAGCGATTGAATTCAACTAAAATGGAAACGGCCAATGAAAAGAAGTATTATAAGAGAAAAAGTGGAATTGGGTTCGTGTAAGACACGAAATTCGGAGAAATCGAGCGTGACTGACTGACGATTATAATGATTGATCTAAAAATATCGGATAAACTCGCTGTCTCTATTACCAAGAGATCAGTGTAAACTTTAAAGACTTAATTTTAACGTTCTTTCATTATTGACCAAACTTTTCGTTGTTTTTGTTTACAAAAAAGTTCCACATATACAGCATTGATAGGTGAACTAACCGATTTGTTAAGACATGCTTACGTAAACAATACATGTAATATACTTTTAGGCTTTTTCAAAATATTCACATCGATTACTTGTTCAAGTTGTTGTTTTACAAATACCAATACAAGACATGAATACAAGTGTTCTTTCCTGAGCTAGAAAGAAAAATGTACTACCTAGAAAAGCGATTTATTTTTGCAAAGACTCAGAAAAAGAGGCGTATTCAGGGCTCCAGATTATGTTTTTCTGTAAGGAGTAATCACTCCAAGAATTATGTCAGCAAGAGTAATTAAAAGTGCAGCAGTAACATTTTGTGATAAAAAGTAATTTAACTATTAAGGATTTATTATTTCAAAAGGTGAAATTTGGCACAGAATTAATCACCAGATGTAGTCATAATAAACACAAATAATAACATTACAACTTCTTCTTTTTTTTTTATTTTATTTTTTTTTATTTTACACACAATTCACGAGTGCACCAATAGAAACTTTTGGCAGTTAGTGAACACTAATTTTTGCAGCTCTACTGTGTGAACTGCGCAGCCCTTGTGCGTCGGAAAAAATTACTATCAGGGCTGATTGTGAAGCTGTTCCTGGTATCTATTTTTAACTTAAACTAAAGTTAAAGAGAGTTATAAAGACGTATTTTTTCCCATCTTCTTAATATTATATTTTTTCAGTATTACAAGTATCGTACATTCAGGAAATTACTGATTATTGTTTAGTTATAATAATAAAACATTTGTAACTAATTAATAATTAGACTTACTCATTTACTGAGGCGATTGTAAATCATAACAAAGATTGATACCGCCACAACCTTACTGTAACAGCGGAAGTTGTAACTTGCAGTACTTTAAGTCAACCCAGGCCAGAATACTTACTTACAAGACTAATTAAAATACATTAATGCTGATATCAAAATTTGCAGTAATCCTAGATAATGTTAATGTTCCTGGAACTTTTAAAATACACCTTTATTTAGTAATACTCGAGTGAAGTTCACTTAAAAAGTTAAACTCAAAATAAAAATAAGAAAACAGAAAAGCGTTAGTACTAAATTATACTTTAAGTTTAACTTTTAAATTAAAGTATAATTTACTGCTAGTGCTTATTTTATTTTCAATGACGGTTTACAAATATTCAATGTTTACTTTAAATGGGTATTTTATTTCAATAACGAATACTTGCCTACGTCCATAACGTTTCTTATGTTCTACATATTTTGTAATAAGAAATGGCAAATTTTTGAAACACGAAAAACCCAAATGTCTGGCACGTGCCTTTTAAATTGATGAATAAAAATAACACTCACCAGCGTTTGGTGACTCAGTAAAGTGACTAAACCCTTATCCAAAAGCCTACAGTACGAGCTCCTAATTATTATGACATGCGATTTACCAACCACTGTACTACACTGTGAGAAAACTTTTCCTTCTTTTAGACTAGGTGGCGAAATAACTTGAAGCTTGTCTTTGAGAACGAGATTATATTGCAGACTGAAAGAGCGATTGAAGTACTTTAGATGTACCATATTCCTTATTCAAAATTGAAACACAAAAGCACTTTGAAGTGATTAAATCACAAACTCACTGAGTTAACTTTGTTTTATTTGTCAGTTATTAAACACAAAGCTACACAATGGGCTATCTGTGTTGTGCCCGCCGTGAATATCCAAACTCAACTTTTAGCATTACAAGTCCTCAGATTTGCTACTCAGCCACAAGATGGGAGATGGAAGGAAGTTGAGTTTAACTGTAACGGTTGTTGATTTCATTTTGAATTGTCACTAATATCAAATTTTTGTTTTCTAGATAATTTATTGTTACACATTTATATATATATAGAAAAACTTGCTTGTGTGTTTCCTTTTTCAACAATTGGACTTTTGCTAAAAGCTGCAAACATTTCTAAAAAGATATTGTTGCGTATCTGCTCGTTTGTTAATTTCCGGTATAAATTCTTTCC